CTCTATAATCTAAGGAATCAAGGTAAGGGTGAGCCTTTACATGGTTATGGGATTGTATGATAGTGTATAATGGGTAATATCATATTTAGGATCAAAATCCCTAATTTCCACGGTTTTGAAATTGATGATTGCATGATGTATGATGGTAGGATCCTTAAATATGTGTTGTAGGATGTTATAGTTGTCATATAATGGTAGTATTTCGAATTTTGGAACTGAGACTTTTTACGGAATCGAATTCGGAGGTCCGGAAGGCCTCCAAACTGCAAAAATCACACTTTTCTGGGTTGCCGTCCTGGAGAGTTCGCATAACGAACTATAGTTCGCATAGCGAAAGTCACGACGCGAGTAGTAGCGAGTGATGGCAGAATGGATGTAACTTTTGATCCGTAAGTCCGGTTTGTTCCCCGTTCAAAGTGTTGGAAAGCTAATGATTAGATCTTTAACATAATATAGATGATAAAATTGGTTGCCCAATATTTTTATATCTAATATGTTTAGGAAGTCAATTGTGTATATATTATATTAATGAATTATTGCACTGTTTACTGCCGGTTGTGAAATTATTATGGATAATTTATCAAATACTTGTGTGTGTGCTTGTATAAGTATACTTTGGGTGTGTCAACATGAAATTCATGATAGTTATTGCTTGTTGTAATGATAATACAATTATGATTGTATTGTAAAATTGTTGTATACCATTTGAAAGTGAATTGTGTATGGATGATTCATAAAAATATGCAAGTATGTGTAATTGTGTGGTAATTCAAGTGTGATGAATTATTGAAGATATACATGGATGTTAAGATTGAGGGATGATCTTAATTGCATATGGTTGTTGAACTTGTACATGCATCATTTGTTGTCAAGAGGCAACGCTTGTTAGTTCCGTGGGAACTAGTGACTTGCCCCAAACCTAAAGCGGAGTTTGAAAGCTTAGGGGATGAGATTTTTATGTGTTATTGGTCTAGGGAACGAACCCGGTTTAATGTAAAAACCGAAAAAATAATAACAAGTGATTGGTACCACATGTATGAGTTGCATTGAGTCACATCATGTATATGTTTGCAATTTGAGATTATGAGAAATATGTGAAATTGATGAATTGACGAGTTATAGAATTGTGAGTATGTACTTGTGAATAGTATGGTCACTTGAGTGATAATATGTTGACGAAGATTTTGGAATGTGAGAATAATTATGTTATGTTTGAATGCCATAAATTATATATTATCTTATGATTTCGATAATTATGTGAATTCTCACCCTTCTGTTGGAATGATATTTTGTACAACATCGCTCAGATACCGAGGAGTATAGTTGCTTCTAGCACGAGGTAGGCGTTAAAGTAGCTTATTTTAGTTTCTCTATTTATTTTGAGTTGAGTCGTGCTCTGATCATGTAATACTGGGAACATTTCGATTCATGTTTTGAGAGATACTTTATGTACTCTACTTTATTTTATTGTTGTTATTTGAATTATGTGGAGTATCGATTTTTATGCCTAAGTGATGATTATGAATGAGTTGATCATGGGGCTTTCATTATGTTAATTTATGATTGAAGTAATTTCGCTGCTACATGTTATGTGAAAGTATATGAAAAACATGAATTATTTTAAGTGTTATTGAGCATGACAAGTATATGTGTGATATTTCGAATTATATGTGACACCCTTATTTGAGATGCATGACAATTTACTTTGATTATTATATATATATATATATATATATATATATATATATATATATATATATATATATATATATATATATATATATATATATATATATATATATATATATATATATATATATATATATATATATATATATATATATATATATATATATATTGTGGGGTTTAGAAGGGTGTTACAACGAGTGTGTTGAACAACGACGAAGGCTCATCGTATCCTATGCATTCGAGAAGAAAAATGGAAACAATCTTGTTCAAGTGATTATGAAAATAATTTGAATTTGGTCGGGTGAAATTTTTTTATGGAACGTTTGTTTGAACATGAGAAAGATCTCTCGCATCCAAAGAAATGAAGAGAAACTTTAAGGATTCAAAACCTCTTCTTTTATTTTAATAAAAAGTGTTTCGATGTTGATTTAAGAAAAATACTCGATAAAAGATCGAGGCTTGAAAATTACGTGATGGCGATTGCAAAAAGAAACCGACTTATGGGGAAGAAACCACTTGACGGTTGATCAAGGATGTGCATTTGATTGATGGCGATGCTAAAGAAAAGCAATCGACTTACAGGGTTTAAAAAATGGCTTGATTATATCAAGAATTATTTTAAAATCAATTTCGACGTGAATGAGAATAAGATACATACACAATATTAACATCACCCATTAAATGAATTAAAACGTAAATTGAAAAGAAAAGTGCACGGGTTAAAATCATGACGCAAATATGCAAATCAAGGCCACATACGCGAAAACGTGCACAGGTTACTGATCTGCTGTCGTGCGCGGATCAAAACGAGTTATTTTTGTAAAAACGTAGTATCGTGGTAACGACAACTCGGATATCGTTTCACAAGGATTCTTGATTTTATTAACTAACAATACAAGCGATTAATAAGGGGGTTTGTTTGGTTTAGGGTCGATTAAACAACGAGGTTGCAATAAGCGGTTAAAACAAGTGATTATCAAAATAAGCCAATCTACTGTTTTTGGTTCCGGCTTATCACGGGTTTCTACCTTACCAATTTCCTAACGGCTTCGATCTCTATTCAATTCCTATGTCAATTGACAAGCGCAAAAGACATAAACTAGATTGACAATCCTATATTCCAAATTAAGCAAACAAATTAAGCTTTCGTGAATTAAGCAAGCACGAATTACAAACGCGAATTAACGACAAAGCGACGTAACGGCGAATAAAAGTTAAGGACGCAATCATACGAATTTAATCAAGACAATTCTATAAACTAACAGATTAAGCAAATGCAATTTATAGAATAATATTGAAAGAGAAACGCATTAAATTGATAAAGTATAAACCTCAAAGCGTTGGAACGCGATTACAACATATTGACTCTCAAGAATTAGTTATCCATTCGAATCGTACAAGCTTCAAAATATTTTTGTCAATAGTGTTTCAGATCCTAGGCTGTACGGCCAGACCTAGACTAAAGAGGAGACAAAAAAAAATTCGGGTCATAACCCAACTGGGTCAAATAAACATAACCCAGACCCAAAACTAACGACCCAAAACTTAATAAAACTAATGCTGTAGGTTAAAACAAAATTCTGGAAAAATATGCTCCGAATCTGACTTTGACTCCAACACGAAAGTCGTAGCTCTCTCTCTTAACTTTTCGACGATTATTAGAACGCCTCAAACGGATTCCCAGAACTCCAGTTATGATCGTTTTCGTGCAGACTGTTAAAGCTGAAAAATAAAGTGCGAAAATCAAATTAAACCAAAAATAAAATAAAATATAAAAACATAACAAAACATAAGAATAATCAAAATAAAGTAAAGAAATGCCTAAGTAAAAATATAGGAGAATGTGCATAAAGATGCACTGATCAGTTACCACAACGAATTAGATTTGATCTAAAGATAACGATGTTGAATCATTAAAAAATAATACAAATTAAAATAGCAAAATGCTACCGCATTAGCGGTCATCGCAAGTCAAATCAAGAACAACAATATCAAAGAAAATCAAATTAATGACACATGCTACACTTAACGCTTACCGATTCACGTTTCGATTGACAGATGTTATTGATTTCGATTGCCTTAGAGTCTGCTTCTACATCGCATGTTGTTTTTAGAGTCATATAACCCTTTACTTGCACTTGCTCGTCTGACAAGCCTACTACAAGGGGATTCTTTAGTGAATATCAGAGTTGTCTCTTCTCATCTCTAAGGTTGAGATATTTACAGAGGCCTATATGCATGAATTTAAAGTTTCTCAAAAATAGCAACTTCCTACTTTAGTAATGGTAGTGGACGGTTGAATTCTTATTTTCTAAGATTACGTGAGTAATTTTATTGACTCTTTTTCTGTATTATCTTTGACCAATATATGTCGCTTCCACATTTTTCTATCTTAGATAAATGGAACGTGTTGCGTGTGATATCATCTGCTTGGCTGTGATATGATCCCTTCGTAAACGATATAGTTTTGTCACTTTTTGCGAGCGATTTGATTGAAATTTGCTCATTATCAAAAATAAAAATTTAATATAATGTGAGGTATTGTAATGAAAAATACTTATTCCTTACCTCTATTGGTTTTGAAGTTGCTATTTTATTTATTTATTCATTCACATTGAAATAGAAGAATCCAAACGATGAAATTCAACCTGTTTTGACAACGAAGGAACAGGGATATACTGAACTTAAATAGTAGGAAAACAATAGACAGACTGGTACAAATTACAGACGGTGAAGTTATAAAATACCGAAAACAACCCCTTCCGCAATTCCACATGAGGGGTAGTTCTATGAGGACAATTTCAACAGGTGACAACGTGAATATCTAAAAAAGTCAGGGGTAAAATAGAGAATCAATTAAATATCAGTTTTAGCGGGCGAAACTATTTCATATTTCGCGGTGGTTGCGGAAAGAGAACACTAACGGCTTTGCCTATACCCTTAAAACTCGCTTCATCTGATTTTCCAACTCCGTTATTTCTCTCTCTCCGGTCACCCACCGGCGGCCACAGAGACAGAGAAAACGGTATCAACGATTAGCCTCTATTTCCCCCCTTTATATTTATCGTTCAATTCAAACACAAAAGCGATCGTTGCTTTGCTTTGCTTTGCAGATATTTGAATCATCGTGTATGTTTATTTTCCCTTAGGTTTTGTGAGTAATGTGGAAATTACGATAGCGAAACGTTGAAGAAACGAAATGGATAATAGAGGTGTTGTTGCTGTTGCAACGATTACGAATTTGTTAATTTTCGTGATTAGTGTTTTGACCGTGGTTTTTGAAGATTAGAGAAAAAACGAAGACGTCCGTTATGGAAGTCGAAGAGGAAGAAGGAAACACAGTTGAGAGGATTTTTGTTGCGATCAGAGTAAGGCCTTTGAGCGAAAGAGAAAAAGCGAGACAAGATGTGTCGGAATGGGAATGCGTTTCTCATAACAGCCTCAGGTTGAAGAACCATGGCCATGCAGAACAGCGATCACCGGCTGATGCGTATATATTCGGTAACGAAGATGTTAATTCAATCCGTTAATGTTATTCTGATAGATTTTCAGCTTTAGAGGATTTCGTTTTCTGAATCCCTAATCCTGTTTATTGATGATTTCTTGGGAGCAGATAGGGTATTTGGGGAAAAGTGTCCAACTCAGCAAGTGTATGAGGAAGGGATTAAAGACGTTTCCCTTTCAGTAGTTAGGGGTATCAATTGTGAGTAGTATTCTTCCTATTCTTATTACATGCTTGGCGATTACATTTATTTACGAGAAATGTTATTTTGAAAACAATTTTGTTGTCCAGCACTGTATTAATATACGATTTAGATCATAGTTGTCAGATTCGTGAGTCAACTTGTAGATTCGAGTTTACAAGTCTAGGACACCAAAAAGGTTCGACCTGCACTCAAACTCGTTTCTGTGGTAGACTGACTTAGAATCAGATAGATTTGGATATGCTTTGTTGTTGTGTTCATTTTGTTGCTGTTTTTATGCTTTTCTTTTTATGTGTCCTCTATTTATGTTTCATTCTTTTTTTTAGTTGTCTCGACTGAGTCCTTATTGTTTGTATCATCTCCATTACTCTAAAATAGCATTGTTTTTTACTGTTTTCTTTTGTAGCTCTGTTTTTCGAAGAAATTTGTCTCTTTGTTTTGTTATAGTTTGTTCCTTTGGTGTGTCTCAAAATGTCCCTTTGTTTTGTTACCATTTGAAATCAGAATTTTTATGCTAATTGGCGTTCTATTATGTATATGTGTCATTATTTATTTTACATAGATTTTAAGAGTATATGTAGACTCATAAGTCTGACAACCTTAGTGCTGATACAAATTTCATTTTTTAATTTATTCTCTCCCTCCATGTCACATGAAGAATATTTATAAACGATTATTTTTATACGGTATCAGAGCATGGTGTCAAACTTTAGATGTTCAAATAACATCATTCTTTATTTATCGTTATGGTGGTCGGTGGAAGTGTTATATTTTATTTTTTTCTCATTGACGAATCATATTCTCTCAGCTAGCATTTTTGCATATGGGCAAACAAGCAGTGGAAAGACATATACCATGGCAGGAATTACTGAACTTGCTGTGAGGGATATATATGAATACATAGAAAAGGTATAAAACAATTCAACTAGTTGAGATTATTTGGTTGTTGCCAAAAATATGACATTTCTTCTTTGTCTCAGCATAAAGAAAGAGAGTTTATTGTGAAGTTCTCTGCCATGGAAATATATAATGAAGCTGTGAGAGACCTTCTCAATTCAAATGCTACCACACTAAGGCTCCTAGATGATCCAGAGGTAAACTTAATAGCATATTTCCCATATTCTGTTAATGTCAAGACTTTCTGGCTTTAGTTCTTTTGAATGGTTGATAATCTATGCACCTCAAACAGAAAGGGACTATTGTTGAGAAACTTACTGAGGAGACTCTGACAGAGAGAAGTCGGTTGCAGCTACTTATATCAAAATGTGCAGGTACTAGGATCTAATTATTTTTTTTCTTATAAATACTTTTGATACCTTCTGATCTCCATTTCAAGCCATATCACTATATGCCTATATCTTGCAGCTGAAAGGACAACGGAAGAGACTGCCATGAATGACACAAGCTCCAGATCTCATCAAATTCTTCGACTGGTATTCACTTTATCTCTAAATTAACTTAGTAATTGAGATTAAAATTGCATATTTTATCCCCAATTTTCCCAAAATAAATGGTTGATTGTTTTCTGCAGACAGTTGAAAGCAGTCCAGGTGATTTTGTAGGCACTGCAAGATCTGGCGCACTTTTTGCCAGTGTGGTAAGTCTTTTACTCCTTCTGGAGGAGGGATGCGTGTTTGTGTGGATATATTTTTGATGTCTAGTAGATGAAATGAACAAGAATTAGTTTCTTTGAACAGAATTTTGTGGATCTAGCAGGAAGTGAGCGTGCTTCTCAAGCATTATCAGCAGGCACAAGATTGAGAGAAGGTAGCCACATAAATCGCAGTTTACTGACCCTTGGAACAGTAATCAGGAAATTAAGGTAGAATTTCCACCCATGTCGTATTTTTTCTGTTTTTCTGCACAATAGCAGATTATTCGTATAATTTGTTGATTAAGGTGTTCTGTTTACCAGTGGGTGTTATAGTTTCGTAGGTCAGGAAACCTAAAGAGCGGATATTCTCTCACTTTGCTAATTTACATTTCTTGTGAAATTTCATTGCTAGGGACCTAGGGTCTCTCAACTCACAACTCAAGATTATTTTTTTCCAAACTCCGATCACATGTAAATTTGGTCAATGTTGAATATTGAGAGCTTGCCCATTATTCTATATACCCTAACAGCTCACGACCCGCATTCTGATTCCATTTTTCTAATAACATGATACTAAATTTACTCGGGCCAGTCAAGATCCAGTCCAACCAGGAGCTAATTGAGATGGGTTGGTTCTAGAAATCTGTCCTGAATTAATATTTTTTTGGGCTGGGTTCATATTATACTGAGTTCACAATTTGTGTGAAATAGGCTAATGTTACATAGATTTTTTATTTTATTTTTTATAATAAAATGCTAAGAAAATAATTTCTGATTATAAACTTAATTTTTCTTAAAAAGTTTAGTATAATTTGTTTCTAAGCATATACTTTAAAACATTTTGGCTAACACTAAAGCTGCATTTGGTGATCCCTGATTAATTAGGCAGTTATGCATTTCGTACATGAATTGTGTAAATGTAGGATAATCTATGATATTAGAAGTAGCCACTTTAAAGAGATTTTGTTAACTAAAGTCTTGCATGGTCTTTTGACTGAATGTCATAGAGAATCAAGACTCAATGTGGCGTTGGAGTATGCATTTCTCTTGTGCATTTTATAAAGTTCTTTTATTTATGAAGCATATGATTTTTCGGTTCACCGAATACTGATTCCTTTTCATTGCATCTTCAATTCTGTGTTTTATTCATCTCTGATCTTGGATTTTGACTGTTTTCCCCTGCCCCAAGTTATCATTAATGAAAGTTATCTTTTATAATTCTTGCCCTTTTCATCTTCATCTCTGTATTTTATTACATAAACAATCTAAATAATAAATCACAATCATTGATTGCAGCAAGGAAAGAAATGGGCACATACCTTACAGAGACTCTAAGCTTACTCGCATTCTGCATAACTCTTTAGGAGGCAATGCCAGAACAGCCATCATTTGTACAATTAGTCCTGCCCGCAGCCAGGTTGAGCAATCAAAAAATACTCTATTTTTTGCTGGTTGTGCAAAACAGGTGACTACTAATGCTCGGGTCAACGTCGTGATGTCAGACAAGGTTTTGGTAAAGCGACTACAAAAGGAATTGTCTAGAATGGAGGATGAGTTGAAGAGCTTAAATACCATCATACTAAAGGAAAGGGAACTTCAGATAAAACAGGTGAGGACGACTCAATAAATTGTGTTTTGGAGGGTAACTATACTCTACTGTAATATTCGTGTTGCATCGAATATTATGACAATACTTTAAACAATTTTATAATTTTGGGTCACTTAAAAAAAAAGCATATGTGCTTGGTTAAAAATTATTAACTAACTGTTACGAATGAAAATAATCAACTTGTATTCATTATGATGCTCATTTTTCCCAAATTAGGGAAGAACTATGAGGTTAGCAAGTTTCATATCCAAATAAGAATGAGTTTGCTGCTAAAATATAATACAATCGATTGCATTGTATGTCCTCTGTTCTTTTTTCTAATTTCCTCAGCACGAAGCTTAGGAGCTATGGAACAGGAGGAAGTTGTCTAATTTCCATTTTCATAAAATGTCCTTATTCATTGTGGATAATCACATCTTAGTTTCTTAAATCTCAAATAATGGCCAGACAGTGCAATTTTTAAAATTATCGTTTCATTTTTATAGTCTGTCCAAAGATTTAGATTTTTGTGATCATCATAATAAGGCCCTTAAGAGGGTAATATATAAGAATCCCCATTACTAGTTGGATTAGATCCTTACCCTATCTGACTTAGAACTAAAATCAAATATTGTTAATGCATGGACCATCAAAAGAAAATTCTATTTACTTGGTGGAAGTGAAATATAGATGGGATTAGTGGTTTGTTAACTTTGACGAGGTTATTTGACAATCAACCATTTCTATATTTTGTTACCAGAAGACAATTAACACTCACAGATAACATAATTACAAAAAGAAAATATATTATAAGAAACATAGTTGTGTTTCATTTTTCTGTTGAGGATTTTTATTCATTTAGTCCTTTTCCTCAATTTGAATATTTGCAGATGGATAAGGAAATTAAAGAATTGACCCGGCAACGTGATCTCTTTCAAAATTTGCTCCAGTCAGTTGGGAAAGATGGGGCTTTAAGAGTAGGTCAAGATTGGGCCTCAGAATGGTCAGGTGTTGCTAATGATCCTACTCCAGTTAGATGCATCAATTCTGAGCATTTTAATACAACAACATCCGTTTCGTCTATTTCTAATGAGCACCTTTTCAAGCAATCTGAGAATTCTGAAGACAACTTTCTCTTGGACGGATGTCCTCCCACCTTTGTTGGGCCTGATCCATGTCAAGGTTGGGAGGAAATGGATAGGAGATCTGAATCTGAAGATAACTGCAAGGAAGTGCCACGCATTGAAATAAAAGAAGTGGAAACAGAGCACAAAACAGATATTAATATGTCCATTCCTGCTTTTGAAGAAAGTGAAAGAAATATTGAAATAAAAGAAGTGGAAACAGAGCACAAAACAGATATCAATATGTGCATTCCTGCTTTTGAAGAAAGTGAAAGAAATTCACCCGTGATTCAATTTAAGGAAGTAGATGATAAATCATCCTCAGGGAACGGTCATAGTGATCAAGATGCTCTTCAGAAAAAAACTGAGGACATTAAAAGGACCAAGGACCATTTTGTGGACCTCTCAGAAAAATATAATGACACATTTGAATCCAAATCTAGTTGCTTGGCTGCCATGTCTCCTCAAGTAGGTAAGGTTGATCAGGAAGATTCACCACATTCTCAATTCGGTATGTTGGAGCAGAATGTGTCAACTCCTTCGTTTAATGAGCTAGACCAGGAATCCACATCACCTCTTCAGTATGAACAGGAGGAGCTTAATATTGAATCGTCTCCTGAACTTGATGATGTGGACCAAGTATCATTCAAATCATCAGCTGGTGTTGAAAAGGATTATTCTCTTCAGTCTGATCAGGAATCCACACCACCTCTTCAGTCTGATCAGGAATCCACATCACCTCCTCAGTCTTATCAGGAAGGGCTTAAAACTGTTTCAGCTCCTGAATTTGATGATCTGGAACAAGTATCATTCAAATCACCGGCTGGTGTTGAAAAGGAATATTCTACTAATTTGGAATGCTTTCCTGAGAAGCTATTCGAACCGAAGTTACGCACTAAAAGAAAAAAATCTTCTCTAATTCACAAGATGAATGCTTCAGGGGAAGATGCAGAATCTGTTATGGATTCTGATACAGAGGAAACTGCCAGCATCCTCAACTTTGAAGCATCAATGAACGAAAGTAAGCCAAAACCAGTGGACATGGACATTAATAATCTTATGGTAAGCACAAAGGGAAATTCTGCTTCCATCTATCTTGCAGTATACTTATTTATAACTCTGTTTAGTTTTAATTATTAGCTATAAGACTTTTGGTGAAAAGACGAAACTCAAGCATTAATAATAGCACAGGAACCTTATTATGCTAATTCTTAAAAATGACCTGAATAGGGCGTTAGTAGTTGAGATGCAATAAGCATATATCAAAGTTTTCCCATTTGGTTTTGAGTTTTTGATGCTCTGTTTAACAATAGTGTGACTTGGTTTTCTCAAGTCAGAATAATCACACATACTTGCTAAATTTGCACTATAAACTGTAATTTGCTACTACTTGCTAAATTTGCTTTTATCTATATAGAAATTGGAAAGTCTTGTCTGATCATCTTTGTTGAAGTGTTGGGATTTTAGGTAAAAGATGGGAGAAAAATATTACTGAAAATAGTTTAATATTGATTTGATACAAAAGATTCAGGACTAATCCCTATTTATAGGGATATATAGGTCCAATTATAAATCAAGAACAAACCATGATAATAATAACTAATATAGAATCTGATACTCAAAAATAGTCTAAGATATTCTAAATCAAGAACAAACCATGGTAATAATAACACATAAAATCTGATACTATAAAATACTCTAAGATATTCTAAATTAATATAAAAGACATTATAAAATATTCTATAATATTTTCACTCCCTCTCAAGCTTAAGCATACTAAACTTCAAGCTTGTTACAAATATACCCCTTTAAAAGAGAAAACATAACAATTGAGTCAATAATTTGAGGTACATGATTTATATAAATCTTCAACCTTCAGTCTTCTAGCATCATCAGTTACCACAACACCAGCTCCAAAGAAATATTAACCTCAATATGGAAACAAACAATCTTCATCACTCTTGGATCTTTTGTGATTGTAATTAAATGTTACGTGATTAAAAGTTTATGATCTATTTGCTCAGTTCCTGGGTTCTTTCATGAAGTTTCCAATTGTGTCTGTGCTTTTTATGAATGATAGGTACCTGTGAGCACGCCTGGGATCAATAAAAATGAGAACAGAGTAAAAGGTTTCAGTTTCCCCGGAGTTTGGGGGGATTTAATACCCTCTAAATTTGAAATGCAGCAGAAAGATATAATCGACCTTTGGGATACATGCAATGTGCCACTTGTACATAGGTCCTATTTTTTCCTTCTCATCCAAGGTGAACTTTCGAATTCTGTGTACTTGAATGTAGAGCTCAGACGTTTGTCCTTTTTAAAGGACGCTTTTTCAAGCGGACATTATATTACAGGAGAAGAAGGTCTTGACGTCACACCTAATTCAAGGTAAAATATTTTTGTTTCATGAGTAGATTTTTGACCTGCAATCCCCATTTGCAAACATGATCAACCATATTGATTGATTTTCACTGGACATGCCAGTCCATTCTGCATGTTTCATATTTTTGTTATATATGATGAAAAACAGACATATTTGTGGTCTGTTGCTGTTAGAATGTTGCAAAACAGTTATCTCTTATAGTTAGAACTGAACTCCATAATTGTTTAAATATTTTTATTCCCGAATGTTAACATAAGTATCCTTAATCATACGTATTTAAAAAATAAATCCCGAGTAAATACACCATTATTAAAAGGTTTTTTCTTTCAAAAATATATTTAATTGAAACTTCTTGCAGACTATAATATAAAACTCTCCATTGACATGCTCTTGTTCTTAAAGTGCAATAGTAAAAAGATTTTCTATTGTTTTAAATTTGGTGGTGTCATGCCCGTTCGGCTTTCAACATCTTGAAAACATGAAGCACAAGGTTATCGCAGGAAACATTATGACTGGTGTTTCATTTGTGAATACTTTACATCAAACACTTGCATAAAGTCACACTTACTCTATTTTTTGGTCATATATACAATATTTTTGACACTATTTTTATGCCGCAATTATTGAACAGCCTCGCATCTCTGACTCGTGAGAGGAAAATGCTCAGTAAGCAAGTGCATAAGAAGTTTTCAAGGAAGGCAAAAGAGGAACTATATCTGAAGTGGGGTATTGATTTGAAGACTAAGGACAGAAGTACACAGTTGGCATGGCTTGTATGGACAGATACAAGAGATTTGAACCATGTAAGAGAAAGCGCTGCACTTGTTGGGAAGCTGGTTGGTTTTATTAACACCGGCGAGGCCTCAAAGAAAACTTTTGGACTTGGCTTCTTAATGCGACGTAAAAGCGGGGAATCCCCTGATTGGAAGGATACAATGTCCTCTCTTTAATAGAGCTAGCTTGAGAGAAAGAAAGCAAAGACATTTCAGCTGTTTAAATTCAGGTCGGATCAGTTAGTGTTGCGATCTGCTTTCACTTTTATATTCTAGGTTCTGTTAAGGTGTAGATTGAAAAGAAATGTAAGATGACAGTGATTAAATTAAAGTAAATGATTCCTACCTCAGTTCATCATCTTCTATTCGTGAATTAGATGATATGATAAGTTGATTATTTGTTCTGCTGTACTTTGTTCTATTTTTTTTTAACAACTTGCCAATTTTTTCTGCAGGCTTATTTTTTCTGCAGGCTTATTTTTTCTGCATGCTCTGTCATAAGGGAATGAGGAAAACCCTTTATCGCACATCATACTTGATACCCAAGGCAAGATTGGAAAAAAAAAGAAAAAGGGAAACAAACAAAAGAAAAATAGAAATTTTGGGCAAATAAATCTTGTTCCACTGTTTAAAGTATTTGCTTGTTCAAATAACCAACAAAGTCCGGTAAGAGCGGAGAATAACTGCATTTGAAATAGAGCAATTGCCGAAGTGATGTATATTTTAGGACAGAGGGAGTATTGTGGAACACATATTGTGTAATGACTTGTTTTTATATGTAATGATTTGTTTTAATATTAATTTATTATATTAATTTATTAGTTGTTTTTATATAATTAGAATGTACTACTGCATTTATTTATTAATATAGCAAAATAATAACTATAGGAAGTGAAAGTTCTGTCTTAATAAAAACTTGAAAAGCTGTCTAAAAAACCTTGAAAATAGAATCTCAATTATTGTAGATTTTAACCCCAACACAATTACAAGCTATGATGTCAGGAAGAGGCACAGAAAAAACCCCACCAAACAGTAAAATATTACTCCCATAATTATTGTGGGTAAGACTATAAAACCCGTATCCACTAGTGTTAGATATCCAAATAATGACCCACCCGCATGTAATGAATAGAGTCACAATGTCCATGTTCCAAAAGTTCAGGCTTTAACCCTGTTTCTCTTTCTTTTTCATTATTATACTCTTCCCATCCACATGACATAAAAAATGAGGGAAAAAGTTTCCAAAACTTTTCGGGAATGAAACCAAGACCTAGCAGTAAAAAATAAATAGAAAGAGAGAGATAGAGAGAGGGGAATCACATCATCACACATACAAATACAAGACCTGACTCTTGTTGTAGGGAACAGCGTTTGCAGTAACCCAAACACCAAACGCTCCTTTAAACCACTAACAAACAAAACCCCAATCCCAGAATCCACCCACCCACAAAACAAAACACTCATTCATTCACTCACTCATATCATCATTTCCTCTTCTTCCTAACCAGAAACACAAATGGCAACAACGGCTATATTTCTCACCATTGCTTCACTCACATACTTCACCACCATACTCATAACACATGCATCACCAACAAACAACAACAACAACAACACAACTCACTCAGAAATCCAAGCCTTAACAATCTTCAAACAAAACCTCCTCGACCCCCTCAACTCCTTAACATCCTGGAAGCCATCATCCCCCTCACCCCCATGCGACTGGCACGGCATTCTCTGTTCCAACAACAGAGTCCACCAAATCCGCTTACCTCGTCTTCAACTCTCTGGCTCAATCTCTTCATCACTCTCCAACCTCACACAACTCCGCAAACTAAGTCTCCATTCCAACAACCTCATCTCCTCAATACCTTCCTCTCTTTCTCAATGTCTCTTCCTCCGCGCCATTTATCTTCACAACAACTCTCTCTCCGGTAACATCCCTCCCTCGCTTCTCAACCTCACCAACCTTCAGATTCTTAACTTTGCCGCTAACTTTCTCTCCGGCACCATCCCAAACCATCTCTCTAACTCCCTGCGGTTCCTCGACCTCTCCTCCAACTCATTCTCCGGTGACATTCCCGGGAACTTTTCCTCCAAGTCCCAGCTTCAACTCATCAACCTCTCACACAACGATTTCACCGGTCAAATACCGGTTACCGTTGGAGCTTTACAACAGTTGGAATATCTGTGGCTAGACAACAACCACCTCCATGGAACATTACCTTCTTCTATATCCAACTGTTCCTCTATGGTGCACCTGAGCGTAGAGGATAACTCCATTGGCGGGTTGATACCTTCTACCGTAGGGACTATGCCTAAGCTTCAAGTGCTGTCACTTTCCATGAATCAACTTTCTGGTTTTGTCCCCACAACCCTCTTTTGCAATGAAGACAACAACAACAATAACAACAACAAAAACAATACTAACCTTAGAATTGTTCAGCTTGGTTTTAATATGCTCACGGGTGTTTCAAATCCTCAAAATGGAAAATGCATTAATAATTTTTTGGAGATTCTAGACCTTAAAGAGAATCACATTATTCATTCTTTGTTTCCTTCTTGGTTGACCAATGTGAAATCTTTGAGGACTCTTGATCTCTCTGGAAACTCATTTTCAGGCTATCTGCCTCGAGAAATTGGAGATCTTTTCTTGTTGGAAGAGTTAAGACTATCTGATAATTTGTTATCCGGAGTTGTTCCGAGTAGTATTGTAAAATGTAGGTTGTTGAAGGTTTTTGATCTTCGAAGGAATCGATTCTCGGGTTTTATTCCTTATTTCCTTGGAGAGTTGAAGAGTTTGAAGGAGTTATCTCTTGGTGGTAACTTTTTTACTGGTTTAATTCCAAAGAGTTATGGAGAGCTTTACGAGTTAGAGATGTTGGATTTAAGCAACAATAAACTCAATGGGGTGTTGCCTTTGGAGATTATGCAGTTAGGAAACCTGGGTGTTTTGAATCTCAGCAATAATAGATTCTCTGGTCGAGTTCCGTCTCAAATTGGAGACTTAATGGCTTTGCAGGTTCTTAATTTGAGTCAATGTGGTTTTTCTGGTAGTGTTCCATCTACATTTGGGAGTTTGATGAAACTGAGGGTGTTGGATTTGAGCAAACAAAATCTTTCAGGTGAGTTACCTGTTGAGGTTTTCGGATTACCGAGTTTGGAAGCTGTGGCTCTCGATGGAAACAGTTTGAGTGGTGATGTTCCTGAGGGTTTCAGCAGCATTGCTAGTTTAAGGTATCTTAATCTTAGCTCTAATGATTTTGTTGGCAACATTCCACCAAATTATGGTTTTCTAAGTTCGTTGGTTGTTCTTTCTTTGTCTCACAATTTCATTTCGGGTTCAATACCTAATGAGATTGGTGGTTGTTCTCAACTTGAAGTGCTTCAGCTTCAATCAAATCGGTTAGTAGGTAACATTGTTTCGAGTGTTATCGCTCGTCTTTCTCGTTTAAAGGAGCTGAATTTAGGAAAGAATGGACTTAAAGGTGAAATCCCAGATGAGATTTCAAAGTGTTCGGCTTTGAACTCACTTGATTTGAGTGGTAATCATTTCATTGGTTACATACCGCTATCCTTGTCGAAGTTATCAAATTTGAAGGCTTTGAATCTGTCTTCAAATCAATTGACAGGAGAAATTCCACTTGATCTTTCGCGCATATCCGGTTTGAAGTATTTAAATGTTTCCAACAACAACCTCGAGGGTGAGATTCCACAAATGCTTAGTTCTAAATTCAATGACCCTTCTGTGTTTGCAATGAACAAGAGGCTATGCGGGAAACCATTGCATCGAGATTGTGAAAAATCGAGAAGACGAAAGAGAAAAAGACTGATAATCATCATAGGTGTTGCAGTTGCAGGACTATGCTTTCTGGCATTGTTTTGTTGCGGCTATGTTTACAGTCTCTTAAGGTGGCGAAAGAAGCTTCGAGAAGGAGTAACAGGCGAGAAGAAACGTAGCTCAACAAGTGCAGGCTCAAATGGAGAAAGAAACAGTAGAGGAAGCGGTGAAAACGGAGGGCCAAAATTAATAGTCTTCAACAACAAAATCACATACGCAGAAACATTAGAAGCAACAAGGAACTTCGACGAAGAAAACGTTTTAAGCAGAGGAAAACACGGACTTGTTTTCAAAGCCTCGTATCAAGATGGAATGGTTCTATCAATTCGTAGACTTCCAAACGGATCAACATTGATAGAAGAAAACACATTCCGCAAAGAAGCAGAATCATTAGGCAAAGTTAAGCACCGAAACTTAACAGTTCTACGCGGCTATTATGCAGGACCACCACCTGATGTAAGACTACTAGTTTATGATTACATGCCAAATGGAAACTTAGGTACATTGCTTCAAGAAGCTTCGCAACAAGACGGCCATGTTTTGAATTGGCCAATGCGTCATTTAATCGCATTAGGCATTGCTCGCGGATTGGGTTTTCTACACTCTGTCGAAATCGTTCATGGCGATGTTAAGCCGCAAAACGTTCTTTTCGATGCTGATTTTGAAGCACATTTATCTGAATTCGGACTAGACCGGTTAACAAAGGTTAGTAGTGTCCCAACCGAATTAGCAGAGTCATCATCTTCAACAACTATTGCAGTTGGTTCCTTAGGTTACGTGGCACCAGAAGCCGTGTTAACCGGACAAGTGACAAAGGAAGGAGACATATACAGTTTCGGGATAGTGTTGTTGGAGATATTAACAGGAAGAAAAGCTGTTATGTTTACGGGCCAAGACGAAGATATAGTGAAATGGGTGAAGAAACAGTTACAAAAAGGCTTGATTTCGGAGCTGTTGGAACCTGGTTTGCTTGAGATTGATCAAGAATCATCAGAATGGGAAGAGTTTTTGTTAGGTGTTAAGGTTGCACTTCTTTGCACAGCACATGATCCTCTTGATCGACCATCTATTAATGATATTGTTTTCATGCTAGAAGGTTGTCGTGTTGGACCTGATATACCTTCCTCTGCTGATCCAACCACACTACCTTCACCTGTTTCTTGATTCTTCATTTTTCTCTTACATTTTTTCGAAAGAAGGGATGGTATTTGGAAAATTTCATCCCTTCATGTTGATTATGTCTCACTTTTTATTTTATGTAATGCAATGAAAATTTGTTTGGTAATTATTACTTTTAAATTAGATTTTAATGTGCTATCTTTAAATGAACTATCCA